GTAATTTAAGAATAAACAAATTCCATTATGGATTACAATTATATTTGAACTCTGACTGTAAAATCTCCAACAAAAATGGAGCTTCTCATGCACGCATAATTTATATCTTTGTTTAAATAGAATCAGCTGGGGGGGGAGAATGCCTTGTTACACTTTACCACAACAGGTTGCAATCAGGTAGAGCGTATGGAAATACTAGAAATGTAACTCTTCCAGACATTTATATATTAGATAGCAACCTCATGTACAAAGTACAGTAGTTGCAAGCCAGATCAGCATAAAGCATGGTAGCAGATGATAAACTCATCGGCTTTCTCCACATTGACAACAGCTCCTACACAGACGCTGCCCCTGAAGCAAGGAATTGGATCACAAGAACCACTGCAGTTATGCAGGCAGGCCTTCGAAGTGAGGGAGTCGGCGAGTGGACTTTGCATGATGGGCTCTTTTTCATAAATGGGAACTGAATTCTAGAGTTCAAATGGTACATTTGTTTATGCTTTATGCTGCCACGAGTACATGCTTCAACAGACTGCATTTGGTTCATTATTTATGTAGTTGTGTCTTAGTCACACCAGTCCATGAGAATATGCAGTTGTGGTTTGGGGGGAGGAGCTAAGAAAACAATATTAAAATAACAGATGCCAGAATGTCATGCATGTACATTAAGTTGAAGGCATATGTACAATCAAATTTTCCAAAGTGACAAAATTCAGTATTCTGGTAGGCAGATGGGGCCGAAAATGTTTTGCTGCCTAAGGTAGAAAATGATCCAACCATAGTGAGAAAAAATAAATAGCTGATGGTTTATTGTCCTTTAAATCTCACTCCATGTACTTCTACCTACCACTTGAGTCATTCCTGCATTTATTCTCCTACTGATTCCTTAAGGGTTGAAACATATATCATGGAAGATCTACGAATTAACATCCCAATTTTTCATTTTCCAAGTGGGGGAAATCCTTGAATTTTTCTCCTTGTGCCATTTCTCAGTTCAAAATTGACCTCTTGGAACTGGTGCTTGGCCTACAATGGGGAAAAGAAGATATGGAAGACGCAGCTGCAATGGGGGGGACTGAACATCTTCCCCAATTCAATTCGAGCCTATCCATTACGATCACCTCACTATATTGGCTGACAGATCTCCTATGAAACTTCTGCTTTATCTGGAGACTCCAATCCGGAAGTTCTGCCTTTTTATTCTGAAAACAGCAGCTGCCCGCCTTTGGACAACAAAATGCTGTTCTCTTGCATCTGTTAATGTTGTTACTTCTGGCATTGACAGATAACAGTCACAGAAGAAAAAATATTCTGTAAGTTGGTATCGGAATATCATTGCGGCAAAAAACAAACCATGATGCAATCTCAGGCATTCAAGAATGCTGAGGATTATACTCCAATAAGAATGATGACCATTCCCAAGATTCCTAGCACTTCCTAGCCTCTACACTAGGTTTTCCAGGTTTCTGGAGAAAGACTTAACCTTATTTAAATCAGAGGCATGCACAATATTTGAAACCAAATGCCCCGTGTTTTGGAACTCGCATAAAATAGCCTAAGAGATAATATTCATAAGGTACCATATCTGAATTGGTTGCAATTTCTAAAGAAAGCTGTAATATATTTTGCACTTCACAGTTATAATATTTTCAGAGAATTCACAGAGGCTGTAATGGATGTAAATTTTAAAGTACACCATATTTTTCAATGGATGACTATTTTAAAAATCTCTTTATTCTACCTCCATCCTCATTTATAGTAAGAGGACAACTATGATACCACCTCATCCTTTGTTTTCTCATTTAAAGAATTCACTAAAATGTTTCTACTGCAGATTCATAAGCACAAGTCTTTCTTCTACCAAGTACTTAACTCAGAGGAAAAGCCAAATTCTACATCTATTTGTTTTTGCAAATTCCAGCAACAAACAAAGCAGAAATAGAGTAGCTATCAGCTTACCTGATCTCTCCTTTCCCCTCTCCTCACTATGGCGTGTGACATTTGGGCAACCAAATATAGCCAAAGACATTATTATAGCTGCAATCCTCATTTCCGAACTCCCAGGATTGTAAAATAAGCAAAATATGCTCAACAGCTTTTTCACCAATTTACATTTATAGGTATATACCTAAACATGTAAACTATAATACGACAAATGTGTCTTTGCAAATACATACATCATATAAACATATTTGTCAATGAATTGGCTATAGGCTCCTTTTCAAAACTGAATGCTGCTGCAAGCAGATTCACTGCTGTATACTTAGCGCAACTGTCACAAATGACCAAGGTACTTAAATTTCCTAATTGTGATTACAAGAATAAGTGCTGGAATCAAGCTCACACAGATAATGCTGTATTTCTCTAGGGTTATACCTAACGTTGTACTGTAATGTTAAGCCTGTCAACTTTAATCTCTTTGAAAAAGTCTCAACCCAGAGCATGACCCTTTCTCTCATACACCTCTCAGTGTGGGACAAAACCAATATTTATGGCATCTTATCATCTTGATGTGGCTGGGATTTTTTTTCCCCAGTGGGTTGAAGGAGGCCCCAAAGGTAATTTATTTAAAGCTAACACAACCCTTGCTACTTTGAAGATTGTGCGCACACACAACCAAAGCACTTACCAGGCTTTCTACTCAGAACATATTGGGAGATATTCTACTGAATCTATTAAAGTCTTATCCCAAATAAATGTATTTCAGAATCAAGTGTACAAGTTCTTTGCAGCAATTCTCAACTCCTGTATCTGGGAACATTAACTGTTGTGTTACACTGAATGATACTGAATGCTATTATCTGGAATTTGTTTTTAGGATATCCCATATTAGGCTTTTAGATCTCTGAAGACTTGAGTAAACATGCATGTATATTTTTCAAAGTCTGACCAGGAAGAAGTAACAAAATCACATTACTACAAGACAAAAGTAATTGAAAATGAAATTCCTTTGACAGCACCTTTTACTCTGCACAAAACAAGTTACAAAACACTGGCAATTTGAGATTCTCAGAATTTAGGACTTAAATTATCCATTAGATTAACCATCACACTGGAGGAAAAAGACAACCACAGAATCAAATATTCTCTCCTACTGGAGAAAAAGAACATTAGGCTTCCACACCCATGTAAACCATTTGGCTTAAATACGAAGAACAGCTGAATTCTAATTAACATCTACATGGAGCTGGCAAAATGTAGATCTTCACATTTATTTGCAATTCAACCACAGTTAGCACATTTCCCAGAGCTGTGCTTAAAAACAGAGGTTTCTAAATGAATGTTCATCTGGATTCTAACCGTGAAGCCCCAATATACCTTTCCAAACTTAGATATTTATTTTAGAGGTAAAACTATCTTGGTCAGCTTGGGCCTCCATCACATGCCGAGAAACCCAGGTAGACCGAGTGACTGAGTGACCACAAATAACAGAAGCAAAACTAAAGGTTCACAGCAGTTACCTTGTTTCATCTCCTGGATCAAGTGCTGAATCTGACAAATGTTTACATGATTTTTCTTGGCTATTTTTTTTTTTTTAAATGTCTTTGGAGGGAGTTTTTTGGTGATGGCTTTGTCATTAGGTAAGACTGTTGCCCATTTCCAAGCAGATGCCAGTAGATTTCATAAAATAACACTTTTACTTTCAAGGAATAAAAAAACTTCTATGGAAGAACTACATTATGAGTGAACTTTCTTTGGCTGTTTTAATTACCAAAGATTTTGCAAACGAGTACTGCAGCCTCTCTCTATTATATATTCTATTTATAGATTTCTATTATTATTTGTTTTTCCCTGAAAGTCATTGAATTGCTTAAAAATGCTGTTTGTTGGGGGGGGGTTGTTTTCATTGGTAGAATTTTGATATTATATTGATGATGATGATGATGATGATGATGATGATGATGATGATGGTGATGATGATGACAATGATATGTAAAAGGATTCTTCACAAAGAAAATTTAGGGGGATCAATTTAATGGACAGAAATTAATTAGGAACTAAGTAGCAGTCTTCTGGAATAAGAAAAATATAAACTCCTTGATCTATTGG